TTTTAAAAATAATATATTAGAGTTGTTTCGTCCAAAACTGCCCGATACCAAATGTAACAGAAACATTAATGAAAACAGACATGTGTTTTTGAAATGGTTAAATTGCTGTAACTAACAGAGCTTCGTATGACATTCCGTTTTTTAATTTGATTAGCACCTTTTCATTTCTATTCTTCTCACCAGGTAGAAGCACCATTGTTCAACAGAAAGGCTATATTTTATAGTGAGCTTATTCGACAATGTATCTATTTTCAACCATATCAATAACCTTTCATATTATGCTCTATCGTTAGCTGGAGATGTATCTTACACTATAATATTGTTTTATTTCTTTCTTTTATTGTCTACTAGATGGCGCTCCAAACATTTACTGCACTTGAGACCAATTTCTTTTTAAACCACTCATCAACCGGTTTGTTTATTTGTTGAATTTCACGCAAACCTACTCGAGGGCTAAATGCTACCCATCCCTAAATTAGAAACGATTGGTTAGAAGGACGGTAGCTAATCAACACCACCCACCGTCAATTGTTAGCTACTCTAATCGAATTGTGGGTTTGACCGTAACGTTCTAACGCCCTCACAGATGAAAGGGCGAGCATATTCAGTGGTGAGAGTTGAACGTACAACCTGAAGATTGGGAGTCGAGCGCCCTAACCATAGGGTCATACCCCTCATCAAATGGATTTAAAATATTTTGTAAGTACACTTGTACCCATCAATAGATCCTGCCCTAATCAAGAAATGTGGACTCTGTACAAATATCACTACCATCTCGAAACATATATTTACACCGTCACTTAGTTGAACTCAAGTTGGAAATATTATTCATATAGACAATGGCTGCTGTTTTGAATATTATTAATTTTTCATAAATAACATATGATCTATTTTATTACACATAAAATTAAAAACATTTTCCTAGAACATTGGCGACACCAAGGGGGGGGGGTGCTAGGGGTGGCGTGTGTCACCCCTGAAATTTGTCTGCCTCCCCTAAAAATTTCCCTGTAAGGTTTAATAAAAGCTACATCTCCTAGAAACAATGTCTTTAATCACTAGGCGACGTTAAACAAAGAAAACTTCCCCACACACATGAAAAAACAATTATCCAATCACTGACTAACCCTATTGTGCTTGCACCCAATCACAGTAAGAATTATTAAGATTTCGAAGTTACTTACTCACTCAGGTTTAGTCATGAGCACCCGAATCCAGCGAGAAAATTAAACTGGAACTATGGGACGCGACAACTGTTATAATATTAAACGAAATTGTTTTTATATCTTATTAATATATTTACTTATTTTGTATATTTGGGTTATGAGCTACTTTATGGATATATATTTGAATTTTAAAATGTTCACCGATTTTAAGAATTTCATGTTAATTTAATTAAGTAATTAATTTGTAGGGTAAGTGTGATACTTTAATGACAAAATGCGCTGAACCGATAAAGAATTTTGTAAAATAAACAAGCGTGTTGTAATATTAATGTAAACATTCTACAACAACAATGTTCATTCTTTCTTAGCTAGTGCTTGTAATTTATCACCATACGCTTCCTTCCACTTATCCTTAGAAAAAAGCCTTCGCCTTATCTCCAAGCTAATGTGACTGCCACCCCTTCGTCTCTTCACTTATGATAATTTATAGTTTTTAATTTGACATTTTTAAATGTTTGACAAATTATTATCTATATATATATGCCCCTCAGTGGCACAGCGGCATGTCTGCGGACTTACAACGCTAGAATCCGGGTTTCGATACCCGTGATGGGCAGAGCACAGATAGCCCATTGTGTAGCTTTGTGCTTAATTAAACAAACTATCTCTTTATCTCTCTCTCTCTCTATATATATATATATATAAAGTTGCTCAGAAATAGGATCAAAGCTGTTGCCATCTCTTGGTTGATCTGCAAACTAATTACAGAACTAATCAAATTGTCATGAAAGTTCAACAACGAAATATCAGTTAAAGTTTCAGCAATTTATGTACCTTTGAAAGAAATAATTTTAAAACTAAATAAGGATCATAATACCTTTAATATACAATAATATATTCTTAGAACTACGGAAAATGTCACACATTTTAACAATAAACTCTTTTGAATTTCATTTATTAGTTTTAAATATTCAGGCGTAAGATAACTGAGACTACAAGGTTTCAAACAGCATTTTTCTTTTAAATAGACTCCTAAACATTGTCAACCTTTCTTAATG